GCAGCGCCATGCGCGTGGTGTTCTTGGCGGGGCGCGAGCGGTGGTTGTACTCCAGCTGGGCCAGGTGGGCTGCGTACCCCTCCGTGATGAACTGCGAGACAAGAGGGACGAGGGCAGGCGTTAGAGGGATGGGACATGTTTCCCTGATAGCCACCGGCAGCCAAACGCGTTTGCTGTACCAGGTCCTCTGAGGTGACGTACAAGACGTGGAGCCGCCCAGATGTGATGGGTCCTGGTCTGCGGGACAGTTCCTGTCCTCTTGGCAAACACCAGCTCGGTCACCAGTTCTAAGGTGACCAAATTCCCACCGCCCTCCCACGGGAGGCCCTTGGCAGCACCTCCAGGGCTCGGGCAAGCTGACTCCTACCTGACACTGGCTCTGCAGCTTTTTGGTGGGTCGGCCAACGATGTAGATGTGCGTGGGCGGAAGGCTGATGGAGCTGTACACAGAGATGTCCTTAGTAGATCCATATGCCGCATGGATCCTCATGTGGAGCTGCGGGGAGAGAAGGCAACATGCAGTCAGAACATATGGGCACCCCGTACTGCTCAACAGGCAGGGCTCTTTTTTTTAAATAGCATTTGTGGGAATCTTAGGTCAATAACTTATGTAAGTTCCCAGCTGGATAATGCACCGCTGTGCAAAGCGCTAATTAACAGAGCTGGGGATGTTTACAGGCCAGAACAAGAGGAGTAACGACAATACGAAAGCGGATCTCCATTGCTGATCCACGGCCTTTCCCCGAGGTCTGCGGGGGGCAGGGACGCCGCACACTTCACTGCCTACTTGTCACTGGGGGAGAGGAGCCGTTTGCAACTCCCCATGCAGTAACCATTAGCAGGGAGCGTTCCCCTCCGCCAGCCACGCTGCCGCACGCAATTCTGCTCTTTAACTCTGCTGGGCAGAGGGAGAAGGAACATGCTGCTTTTCAGGGATTCGTCTGCCTCTACTCTGAGCAGAGAGCAGCTCCTGGCCAACCCCTTCCTTAGTGGGCTGAAGTGGGGGCTGGCAGGGGAGGGGTGGACACTGGTGCCACCACAGACCGGTCGGCTTTGCCCCCGGTGCTGAAGGCAGGCCAGGGAGCTGGAGAGGAAGTCTCTGGCCCTGGTCACAAATTTGTTCTTCCGGAGGACAAGGGAGAGCAGGCAGCGAGTAAGGGCCAGCTGCTCCTGCCACCATGACTCGGGCTGAAACGAGACTCCAAGGGAGTTAACGATGGGCTTCGCTGCTGTTCAAGGCAGGGCACAAGCGCTTGGGACACTGGCAGTTCCTTTGCTTGCCAGACAGAGAAAATCTTGTTTTATCTGGAGCTTTTCTAAGGCTCTGTGCTGAGCAGCATTAAGACCTCCCTGGGGTCGAATGCTTGGGAAGACGCTCTGTGGAGTTTCCCATCAAGGCTGCGTGCTGCAAGGCCATTTCTGCAGCAGCTCCATGCCCTCTCAGACCTGCTGGTTCACCACAGGCAGCCAGAAAGCCACCAAACAGGTGAAAAAAGTGCCTGCGTGGGGAAGAGGAGGCATGGCTGTCTGTTTCATTAGGCATTTAGCGTTAGAAGGACCAGTGATGAAATGGAGCAATGCAGAGATGACACGATTTAACAGCGTAGACATTTTTGTAGAGCAGTAAAAGGATGAAATAAAATGAACAGATTAATCTTCCACTGCGGGTCACATTGCTGCCAAGAGACTGGTGCTGACAGGGGCAATTGGACGAGGAGCAATCTAAACCCGTGCTACGATCGTATTTCAGCAGACCCAGGCTTACGTCTGTGATGAGGGATTTCAGGAAGTTGGCCTTGTGCCGCAGCGGGTCGTGAACGAGCCCATCGCAGAAGGAGACGATCCCGTGGGGGAAGTTGTGCTGTGCTAACCACGCTACCACCCTCTGCTTCTGCATGTCGGGGCGGCCCGTGACATAGATAATGAGGTAGCCGAGGTCTTGCCAGTGCCTAGAAGGAAAGCCACAAGTCAACGGATTGCAGACCTAGAGCAGGGTAAAACAGAACAACTGCCCCATCCCCTCACGCTGACCTTACAACGTCAACCGCTCCGGCGCGGACTTTGGGGTCGCTGCCCATGATGGATACACTGGCTGCAAAGGAGCCGTCGATGCTGAACACCACAAACTCCGTCCCCTTCGGCAGGACTGTGATGTAGCTGTCTGCATATGTGTGGTCACCCCTGAAAGGGATGCAGGTATTTACAGGCATCAAGATATAGAGGTTCTTTTAGGAGGTATCACTGAGTCCTGCCATGCATCACAAGCCCAAAGCAGCACCCAAATCCGGCCCAAAGCCTCTAATAACAATGCCACCCTCACTTACAGCAGTGACAGGCACTGTGTGAAGGCCTCTGTGCTAAAGTGGGTCTGCAAATAGCACTCTGGAGCCCTGGTGTCAGCAACTTCAAAAAAAAATATATCCTCAGAAAACCACTGCTGGGTTCACCACTGAAAAGATGGTCCTCTCCTCCCCCTTCCAGAGCTCAACACCAGCAACTGGAGCTGAGCTGGAGCCCCTGGGCGGTGAATTATCACGAGTACCAAGTTCTGTCCCTCAAGGACAAGTTTATGGTCTTCAAAATACACACAGTCGTGCAGTTTTGCAGATGACCACAAGGCCATGCATCTGCGGTGCGGAAGGCCTGCTCCTGCATGTTGTTGATGATGTAGGAGTCAGAATAAAACGTGGATCTTCCTCTTACAGCTGCAGAGTACAAATGACTGTCTCTGTTGCTGGCAAACCAGGCTCTGAACCCACCCAACAATCAGAGCCACCCCAGAAGGAGAGACCATTTTCTACAGTCATCAGATTCCCCTTTTGTTCCTCTTGCAAACTAAGCCCTGGCACCCCACGGTACCTCACCTGACCACCATCTTGACAGGGTACACGCCAATGCCCAGGCGCCGGTTCTGAGGGATGACATAAGAAATCCTGCCGCTGCTGTTGCTGATCTCGGTGTCAAAGTAAACCCACTCTCCTGACGGTGGCTGGGTCATGATGTGAATGTCCACCTGGGAAGACAGCAAGTCTGTCAAGGCCAGCATTGTCAACAACAGCATTAAAGACACAGATGAGTAGAACAGGCCAAGCACGGGGACCTTCCACCCAAGTGCCTTTGGATGGCAGCAGGGCTGGGTCCTGCTTCCACCCTCTGCACTTCACAGATATGAGCTGAGAAGCACCCAAACATCAGGACGCTGGAATGAAACCCAGCCTTGGGGGGAAAGACTTCCATGATGAACGCCGCTGCTGGTAGGAGGCACTGCACAAGTCTGAGCAGGGGAACCTGGCCAAGATGCAAAGGTAGCAGACCCCATCCAGGGACCAAGGGAGCACCGACCAGCACTGCCTCTGTCCCTGTCCTCCACACTTTTCACCCCATGGTGCGCAACCCCCAGAGCAGACACTACCTTTTCTCCTGTGAGTGTGACCATATCTAACGGACCGTACATAAATCTTCCATTTAAGGTCTGGGGCCCATCTTCATTAGCAATGGTGTCGTTTATCCTGTGGTTGGCT